CCACAAGACCAGAAGGAAGAAGAATCTCTACCTCATCAAGTGGAAAGGCTATCCCTCCTCTCAGAACACCTGGGAACCAGAAGAAAACCTCCTACCCCATGGCAGAGAAATCTTGAAGGAGTTCCTAGCCCAGAAGGGAGCTTAATCTTAAAGTGGGGGAGTGTGACAGAATTCTTCTGTCAGTGCTATGGTTATACTGGTTAGATGTGGTTCCAAACTAGTGGTCACATGACTTTGCTGATGGTGTCAGCATTCATTTGACCAGAATTAGATAAATAAGCAGATTTAGCCATTTCTGGCCAAATTAGATGAGTATTCTGACACACTGGCATCTGCCCCTTTCAATCAAGTGGCACAGTGTATTTAGGATGACTTGTCTCACTTGTGATTGGCTATAAATGGTGCAATAGGCTGACAAATAGTTTAGGATGACATGTATAAGATCGGATTGGTTGCAAATGGTGCAATAGGCTGACAAATAGTTTAGGATGACATGTATGAGTTCTAATTGGTTGCAAATGGTGCAATAGGCTGACAAATAGTTTAGGATGATGTGGGCGAGATCTGATTGGGTAGTTAGGATATAGCATTTGTCAGCCCCTTTGTCTATAAAAAGAGGACCTCTCTGAGGCCCCTCAAAAGGAAAATAACAAGTAGTAACTAAGTCTTCCCTAGTTTTCTATTGTCTTCTTGTCCCTGCTAGCCTGTTACAGTTCATCAGCTTCGGACCAACCCCAATGCGCCGCTGCAGACTCCAGGGCATGAGTTTTGGCTGGGAGTCAATGCTCCGAAACCTTACACGGTGGGCCAGCCCCTCACAAACCACATCGTGGACCCCTACAGCAAGGCCACCAACAGTGGTGAAGCAGCGGTCAGAATAGTTGCTGACATGAAAAAACCCAGAAAAAGAGGGCGCCCAGCTCCGTGTGCCACTTGGCTCGACTGCGGGGTTCCCCAACACGAGGCGGGAAGCAAAAAAACAGCCTCTGTTAGGGCTTCCTCTGATTCCCACATATCCTTCGTGGGGTGGATATCTGGCCCAA